GCACGGAACTTCCCTTTTAGGATCTTTCAGAGGAAGTCAGGATTCCCTATGAATGCTGGCCCTTAGTCACAGCTGACAGGACCAGCTCTTACCTGCATCCCTTTCCTGTGCTCTGCAGACTGTGTACGCCAAGGACTGCCCTCTCGCAGCAGCCAAAGCTATCCAAGGACTGCGAGCAGTTTTTGACGAGACCTACCCCGATCCTGTCCGTGTGGTCTCAATTGGCATCCCCGTGGAGGAGCTGCTGGCTGACCCCTCTGGCCCCGCAGGCTCCATCACTTCTATTGAGTTCTGTGGAGGGACGTGAGTATCTGGAGAGGCTGGGAAAGGCAGCAGGGTGGCTTGAAAAGGAGTCCCTGTGGAGCCCGAGCTCTGTTGTGAGTGCCGTGGGCACAGCCAGGGCAAAGCTGGAGGTGGTGGTGATGATGTGCCTTTGCATTCCCAGTCCTGAGTCAAGCTGCGTTTAAAATAAGCCTTTGCAGGCAGGGAAACTGCCTGTATGCTCTCCCTGCCCACACACATAGTCTCTGACAGTGCTGGGAACATAGCCCTTGCCACCCTTTCCTTGCTCATTTGCTTTCAGCAGCTAGGTTGGGTTTTCTGCCTGTCCCCACACTTGTTGCATCTCCCTGGCAGGGTGGTTTTCTTGTTTCCACACTGATTTCCTGCTGAGATGAGAGGTGGACTTCTGACTCTCTCTTGTGGGTCTTTCTGGGTTCTTTTCAAAGGCACTTGCAGAACTCCAGCCATGCTGGTCCCTTTGTGATTGTTTCAGAAGAAGCAATTGCTAAAGGCATCCGGAGGATAGTTGCAGTCACCGGGGCTGAAGCTCGGAAGGTAAGGGGCGGCAGGAGGGATCCTCTGTGAAATCCCACATATTAACCCTGTGCCAAGGTTCCTTTTGTTCAAATTTGCCCAGTATCTCTGTTGGGATACTCAGCACCAGGGAGAATTGGCATGAGTGTCTGAGGGACTTGTGGAGAAGGATGCTGCTGTTAGCAAAGGCTGTGCTGGAGGCCCCTGGCTGTGCTACAGTCAGAGGAGAGAACAAGGGAAGGGAAGGGGGGAAGTCTTGGCTGTAGCTGTTGTGTTTGTGTGGCAGAAGGGCCTGGGGTGAGGTGGCTGCAGGGTTAGCTCAGGTTGCTTTGCAGAATGAGCTACAGATCTAGGCTCTCAGCAGCTGGCAAGACTGGCAGGAGAGTTGTGAAGTCTGAGAATCCAGTCCTCTGCTGCAGGAGGCAGGTGACTGGTCCTGGGCTAGCCTGGACTGGTGTTCCCTAGAGTGGGAGAAGAGGCTTTGTGAGGAGATGGCTTTCTCTTTTTGGAGGATCTTGGCATTCCTTCTGGCAAAGAAGACTCTGGAGGCCTGGGTGCCAGCATCACACCCTGGTTCTGGTCAAGTGCTGCCTGCTTTGGCTCTGCTGCTTCCCAAGGAGTTACTGAACTCCATCCTGGGGCTGCAGCATTCCTCACCCCTTCTCATGGTGGTGGCCAAGAGCCCAGCATGCTAAATCTCCCTGCCTGAGTTAACGCAGATTGTATTCTGATAGGCCCTCAGGAAAGTTGACAGCCTCAAGAAACTGTTGTCAGCCCTGGAGGCCAAGGTGAAGGTCCAGACAGCTCCCAACAAGGATGTGCAGAAGGAGATCACGGATCTCAGTGAGGTGAGGATGGTAGCAGTGCTCTGCCTTCCCAAAGTGAATGGGACCTTGATTGCCAGCACCGGGTGGTATTAATGAGGCCCCAGTTCAGCTTCCTGCTCCTGTCCGAACAGCCCTGTGTCCTGTGGGTCCTGCAGCGAGCACCTCATGCCTGGGGCTGTCGGGCACTGGGAGAGGAGGGGAGCTTGCTGGGTGCTGCCAGTTGAGGCACTTAAGGTTCACGAGTGTGGTGCAGCATCTCCTGCCTCCTGCTGTGGTCACTGGTGCCTTTAACCCTCTCCATCTACTCCTCTCTTGCAGACACTGGCTACTGCTGTTATCCCGCAGTGGCAGAAAGATGAACTGAGAGAGGCTGTTAAAGCACTAAAGAAAGTTATGGATGACCTGGACCGAGCAAGCAAAGCCGACATCCAGAAACGAGTGAGCCCTGGGTGGGAATAAAGGACAGTGTGGGAGGGCTGCAGGGGGGCTCCCTTGGGAGGCTCCACTTGTGTCCAGTGTGGAAGGGAGATGAGCTGAGGGGGTGCCCCTCATGCTGTTCAGCTTTTCAACCTCTCCTGCTCCCTCCCAGGGCATGGCTACCTCCACGCCTGTTCCCTGGGTTGAAACGCTGGCAGCGTGTCTTGGAAGTGGGGGTGCTTCTGCCTTAATGGTGCCTCTGGGTGCAGGCTTCTTCCTCCTGGATGCCATTGGATTTTACTGGAGGAGGAATCACACACAGCACTCCTGCTGCTTTGCAGGCCACACACCTGCCTGCCAACATGTTTTGTTCCTGGCTCCGCAGCATGAGGCTGCTCCTGGCTGGGCTATGGGTGTGTTGGGGCACCTTGCGGGCCTCTGTAGCTGCAGGGAAGTTCTTCCGAGGTGGTTCTTGCATCCATATGCAATGTGTGTGCTCTGGCATCTGGCCACTGTTGTCCTCAGGTGCTGGAGAAGACCAAGCAAGTCATTGAGAGTCACCCTAACCAGCCATTGGTCATCATGGAAATGGAAAATGGAGCCTCAGCAAAGGTATGGGAAGGTCCTCAAGAACCTTCCTTGTGCCTGAGGAGCAGCTGGGTGGTCTGTGTTCACTTGGGGAGGTGGTGCTGTGTTACAGGGCTGTCTCTTTTGCCCCCTGCCAGCCCTGAGTAGCAGCTAGTGAAGAGGGGGAGGACCACTGGCACACTCTGCATCCCACCGCCTGGACTAACAGATGGGTTTGCAGGGGTGGGTGGGGTCTTGACCATTTGCTGAGCTTCCAGACCTGGCAGTGGATAGGGACCCCAGTAGGAATCACTTTGTGTCCCAGGTAAGGCTCATCCAGCAGCAGTCATGACACTAAAATGCAGACTTAAGGAACTCTGAACAGTAGCTCTGCCAAGCTATGGTAGTCATGATGCTTGTGGCCATGGCAGATCAGCTCTGGCAACAGTGTCCTGGGCTGAGTGTGTGGCCAGGGCCAGGCCAGAGAGCTGCTCCCCAGCTCCTGGGCGCAGTCTGCTGCAGCATGGTTCAAGTTCTTCTCTGGCCAGGGCTGAAACTGCTCCTTCCCTCCTCCACTCATGAGTTAAGTTTCTTTCCGAGCAATTTCTGTTGTGAATAAAAGCTCCCTTGTGCGTGCTGTGCCGCAGTGCTGAGCCCAGCAAGTGCCAGGAGTGTGGGCTGATCATGCCTTGAGGTTGGACCACTCTGATTTCAATGCCCTATTTAAATTTCCGCTCTGGGAGTCTCGGAGCTGATCCTGCTTACAGATGCCTGCTCATTCTATGTGGCCATCTCCATTGCCACGATGCCAGCGCTCCTGCTTACAGTGGGTGCCAACGCAGCATTCTCCCTGGTGGAAGGCTGCATCCCAGGGGATGGCAGTGCCAGCAGCCTGGGGAGCTGCGTATTCCCTATGCAGCTAGAGCAGCATGGCTTTGCTCACTGGAGGGCCAGCTCCCAGAGCTCTGTGCTGTATCGTGCTGTCTGTGAGCAAAGGATGACTGTCTCCTTGGGAATAATGGGATGCATGGCAGTCTCCCTGGTTTCTCCAGCATGCCTGCTGTGTCTGATAACCCTTGCAGCTTCTCGCTGCATTTGAGTCCTGACTTGCTGCATAACAGCTGCTCCCTCCTGCTGGGAGCTCACAGCGCGGGACAGAGCATTTTCCCCTCCAGCCAGTACACTGAGGTAAAGGTTCACTTGCTTTGGGGCTAATTCTGCCAGTTCCTGGATAACTGAAGGTGGGGAAATAACAGCAGCTCCTCACTCCTGCCTCCTTGCAGCCGTGAGGGGGACACGGCCAGGGCTTGTGTCCCCTGCCAAGGCTTCTGCACAGCTGGGAATGTGAATATTGCTCGTGTTTGGGAGGAGGTGTGCTGCAGGGTGCTGCCGGCTGGTTTAATGCAAGCCCAGATCCCCGAGGTCTCTGTGGGTGCCGCAGGGGCTGGAGTGGGGCTAGTTGTGAGTGCGGGGAGGGTGTGCTGCAGTGACTTTGTCCTTCTACAGGCCCTGAACGAATCTCTAAAGCTCTTCAAGACTTACTCCCCCCAGACCGCCACCATGCTTTTCACTGTAGATAATGAAGCTGGCAGAATCACTTGCCTGTGTCAGGTACCCCAGGTAAGGCTGAGACTCTGCATCTGCCTTTCTCTGAGCATTGGTGGAGGATCTGCAGCCTCCAGGCAATAACCTACACAGCCAAAACTCTTTTGGGTTGGCAAGAGCTGTGACTCTTGTGCTTCAGGTTATCATCAGGCTGCAGGCCAGGGGGGGAAGAGGTGTTGTGCTCTCTGGCCGGGAAGGGGTTAGAGCCAGGACTTAATGCAGTTGTAGGCATGGGGCAGGCAGGCTGCTCCTGGATTGCTGGCCTGGCTCTTCTCCAGGAGATGCCCCTGGAAGAGCTTTGTCCTGTTGTACTGTGCTTGTGGACCCTCTTCCCTTGCTGCCGACTGGACTGAGGTCGAGCTGCCTCTTTCTTTGTTTCTTTTCCCGCTCAGGAGACCGCAAATAAGGGCCTGAAGGCCAGCCAGTGGGTGCAAGAGGTGTCTGGCTTGATGGATGGCAAAGGCGGGGGGAAGGACGTCTCCGCGCAGGCGACGGGCAAGAACGTAGGCTGCCTGCAGGAGGCCCTGAAACTGGCCACGGACTTTGCCAGGCTCCGGCTGGGGGAGCTGAAAAACTGACGATGGGTGGTGGTGGGGTCACCGGCACCCCTCTGCCCTCCTGCCCATCCCCTGCCTGCTGCTGAGCCGCCACCCGTGTTTCCTATGAATAAAAGTTGCCTGTCCCGCCCGCTGCCGCCTCGGCTCTGCTTACGGGGGCGGGCCGGGCCGGGCTCCTCCTCCGCCTGCCTGCCGCCCTGCCTGTTTTCTCCACCGACCATGCCGCTGGATCACCGCCGCTTGCGGGGCCCGGAGGAGTCGCAGCCGCCGGAGCTGTGGGCAGCGGGAACCGGGGCAGTGCCGGAGAAGGAAGAGGAGGAGGATGCGGCTCCGCAGGACCCCTGCGCCCTGCGGCCCCTCTTCGCCCGGGCCGGGCTGCTGAGCCAGGCGGAGGGCTCGGCCTACGTGGAGCTGGGCGGCGGAACCAAGGTCCTCTGCGCCGCATGGGGCCCGCGGGAAGCGGCCGAGCCCGGCTCGGCGGCGACGGCAGCGGTGGGAGGGGGGCGGCTGCTCTGCGAGTTCTACCGGGCCCCCTTCGCCGGGCGCGGGGCGCGGCGGAGGCCGGGCTCGGCGGCGGAACGGGACGCGGAACGAGAAGCGGCGGCGGCTCTGCGGGAAGCGCTGGAGCCGGCCGTGCGGTTGGCTCGTTACCCGCGGGCTCGCCTGGCCGTCAGCGCCTTGCTGCTGCAGGACGGTGGTTCCGCCTTGGCCGCCGCCATCAGCGCCGCTGCCTTGGCCCTGGCTGATGCTGGCGTGGAGATGTACGACTTGGTGGTGGGTTGCGCCTTGTGCCGGTCCCCCGGTCCCGCAGCTGCGTGGATGCTGCAGCCCGGGGAACCCGAAGAGCGTCGTGCCGTCGCCCGGCTCACCGTGGCTCTGCTGCCTGCTCTCAACCAGGTGTCGGCGGTGCTGGGCGGCGGGCAGGGCAGCCCTCCCGATGACTGGGCGCAGGCGCTGCGCCTCGGCCTCGATGGCTGCCATCGTCTCTACCCTGTGCTGCGGCAGAGCCTGCTGCGGGCCTCCCGCCGCCGCAATGCCGCTGCTGCCGCCACCGCCACCACTGCCTGAGCGCCGACGATGCCTGGGTGGCCCCTCTCTGGGGATGGGGTTGTCTCCCAGAGCTGCTCTCGGTGCTGCCAGAGACCCTGGAGCCTGCCTGATGCACGCTTCACGCTCCCAGAGAGCCCCTGAGCCAGCCCTTGAGCTGCCAGAGACCCTGGAGCCTGCCTGATCCACACTTCACGCTCCCAGAGAGCCCCTGAAGCCAGCCTGAGCCAGCCTTCAAGCTCCCAGAGACCCCCCGGAGCCAGCCTGAGCCAGCTTTCAAGCTCCCAGAGACCCCCCCAGAGATGCCCACACAGTTGGAGGCCCAAGAAACCTGCCCGAGGACACTGGAGCCTGCCTCCCCACCACTACCAGAGAGCCCCCACACTGCCCAAGCACCCCGGAGCCTGCCTGAGGAGCCCCTGTGTCACAGGAGACAGCTCCCATGTGGCCCTGCAGGACCCAAGCAGCCCCACGCACTGCCAGAGCCCCCCAAGAACAGCCTCCACCCTGCCTCAGCTGCCAGAACCTGCCTGCACAGCCCCACACAGCTGGACCCTGCCTGAGACCTCCCTCCAAGCAGCTTGCCTGCACTTGGGGGACCCCACACCCCACCCCGGGGTGGCCCCAGCACCAGGGCTGAGACCTCCACACTGGGCTGCCCACCACGACCATCCATGCAGGCAGGGTCCAGGCAGCACCAGGCAGGAACCACATCATGGCACAGACTGTGCAGCCCTTGGGACTCCTGCCCAGGCAGCGCTTCGGGGTGGCAGAGATATGTTTTGTTGGGGTTTTTTTATAATAAATCAGGTTTTTCTGGTGCCTTCTGCCTGCATGGCTCTGCTGGGGCCTCTGCCAGCTGTGGGCAGAGGTGGAAGGATGCACTTGTGACTGGCTGCCAGGCATCGAGGTCACCCCCCTCTGCTCCTGCTGTCCTTCCTCAAGGGGTGCAGAGGGAGCTGGGTGCTGCCCTGGGGTCCAGTTATTCCTGGGGATGGAGAGGAGCTGGTCCTGTCTGCCGAGCAGCACCATGCCAGACTGGTAGGGAATATTCTGGGTAAAGGCACTGATTAATGTTTCCATTGAGAAACATGGCAGAGCTGCGCCCTCCTGCCTCTGGGTTGAGTTGCGGGGAAAGCAGCATCCTAGAAAGACCCCAGAGCCTAGGGCTGTGTCAGGCAGCACACAAAATTGGGTACAAATATTACACAGGTGCTTCAGATGGTTAAAAACTGCATCGGAGTCAAATAACCAGAGAAAAGAAATAAAAATTATTTTTCTTCCCAACACAATACACTCTTTTACCAGAGCAAATTAGAAATACAGAACAAGTTCCTACCAGCGAGAGAAGGATGACCTAGAAATGAGGGACACTGAACCGAGATGCAACGCTGGGGAGCATGGGACGGGGACCACAACTTCCTCAGGCACAGGCAAGGAACCCTGGCACAGTTGCTCACGGGAGTCTTGCTGACCGCAAACACGATCCGTGGCCGAGAACAGCCCGTGGTAAACCAGTAAGGGAAACCCATTTGTGAGCAGAGGTGACTGGGAGCAATGAGGTTTGCATCACCCCGCCACTGGCCCTGCAGCTGGCATCGGACCTGGGCTCAGCACCAGACGTCTATCCCAAAATCCCACGAAAGCCCCTCGGAGTTGTCTCGGGGTGGTCCATCCTTCCTGTGGGATGCCGAGCAGCTCCAAAAGCCTTCCTAGGCTGTACCCGTGCCTGCTGAACCTTGCTGAACCAATTCCCAGGGGGGCTGAAGCACGGAGATGGTGGGCTTGCAGGGCAGGGGAGGTTGGGATATGACCTCTGCCGTGGGGGCTGAGAGCCCTGGTCTGCACCCCACAGCCCCCTATGGGTGGGGGGATGCTGGCATGCAAGGCAGCTGGGATTTGGGATGCTCCTTTGGGATGTGGTCCTTTTTTTTTATTCCTCCCCTCCCTCCCCTGGCCACGTCTGCTTATCCCTAGGTCTGAAAACAGGAGGAAAAAGAAAACAAGCACACTCAAACACAAAAGACTTCTCTCGCCACGGCTGGCCGGCATCTCACAAGGAGTGGGACGCGGAGCTGCGGGCACCGGCGGCAGGGGATGGCTGTGCCGAGAGCGGGCACCTCGCATCGTGTGTGGCACTAGCTGGAAGCCTCAAAAGAAATACAAACACAAGACTGGAAGGGCTGGCCACGTGGGGAGGCCACAGCATCCCAGTCCATCTACTGGCTCCCCTCGGGGTCCGACATGTGGTTTTTCACCTGCAAGGAAAAACGCACAGGGTGGCCGTCCTCTGATGTGCCTGGGCAGCAGGATCAAACCCAGCGCCCTGCCTGGCATGGGGATCCCTAGGGTCCTGCACCCAGCTGGAGGATGTGGGTATGGGAGCAGCAGCGTTGATAAAAGGTATTTCTGCTCCAAAGTGTGTGTGGGGTTGCAGCCTGTGCTGCTGGAGTAATGCACGCCCAGGGGTTTGCTGCAGGGTGCTCAGGGCTGTCCTGGAGGAGCGGGCAGTTGTAGCCCTGGTAAGCAGCTGGGATGGCTTGGGGGACCCTGATGGAGCATCTCCTCTGCTCCGGGCATCCCCCACCAGGACCCACGCAGGTAGCAAGTGGGGATGAATTTTGGGAAAGCAGAAAGTCTGGTGCAGGATCTGGCCCTCCTCTTACCGCCTCCTCCGTGTCTGTGCTCTCCTCGGCGCTGTCAATGTTGCGCAGGTCACTGTGCCCATCAGCTCCCATCCCCTCCTTCCCCCGGGGCTCCCGTGACCCCTCTCCTGCTGGGGATGGTGACTCTGCCCCTGTCTCTACCCTCTTCTTTTCGCTCTCCTTGGACCCTGCAAGGACAGAGACAGCAGAAAGTTGGGGTACCGATGCAAACATTAGGCCTGTCCTCGCAGGGTCCCATTGTGCCAAAGGGCTGGACTCCGCCCTGCCAGGCCAGACAAGGGGGAGGATGTGGGGAATTTGCCCAGCCAGCTCCAGATGCCCAATTGCCTCCTGGGCACGCAGGGAGGGAATCCCTTACACCCAACTCTGGGTCCAGGCTGGCATGCGCCCACAGGCTGCCCAGCATGGACACATGGGTGTCAGAGGGTCTACGACCTGTCCCCTCACCTGCGAGACGCTCTCTCCGCTGGTCCATGCGGTCCAGGCTCTCCAGCAGACTGTCCACCTGCGCCTTGATCTGGCTCAGCTCTCCTTTGATGGAGTGCAGCTCTTCGGCCCGCACTGCAGGGAAGAGGAACTGTTAAGATCCCACCCTGCCCTACAGCCTGCCGGGAGCCAGGGGAACACGCCATCCTGGGCAGCCACCTCTGGAGCATCCTCCTTTCCGGAGCATCCTTGGGGAGCAGGGACGGGTCCAGGGGACAGCCACCAGCCCAGCGCAGTCCAGGCAGTGTCTGCTAGAGCTCAGGACTCATAGCCACAGTGTCAGCACCGAGCGGGACCTGCATTGCTCTAATGCGCCAAGACACGCGGGCTGAGCCTCCTCTTCCTCTCAGCCCCATCACACTTACATTTTGTCCGTCCTGCTGTGGAGCTGGTGCTGCTCCTTGCCCCAGGCTGGGGGCTCAGGCTGCTTTTGCCTCCTGCTCCCACATGAGTTCGTCTGGCCTTGACTGGGATGCGGTTAATGAGGGGGGGGATCTTCTGGTACTCGTACACTCTGCAAGGGCACAAGAGCATGGCGGCGTGAGTGCAGCCCCGGAGGTGCAGCAGGAGCCCCAGCCAGCTAAGAGAGCATCTCTTGGGGTCCCTCTGCGGTGAAGGCCCCCCAACCTAGGCATTGCCCAGCCCACATGCTGGCCCTGCCCCACGTACCCCCTCCCCAAAGCCCCCAGCCCGGGGAATCTGTGGCATACCATCCTCAAAGGGGGCAACACCGCTGAGCCTCTCTTGGAGGCAGGGAAACAGATGCCCAGGGACACCCCACCTTCCGCCTTTGGTAGAGGCATGCTCAGCCCACCCCGCTCCTGGGATGCCGTGCTCACCGGTACGGAAAGTCGTCCCTGTAGAGATCATAGTCCAGGTCACAGTTACTGCTGCAGGAGGGGGAGAGAGGAGAACAAGTCACCTGCTCTGTGAGGCCATGGATGCTGTGGGGCAGCTAGGGCTGGGCACAGCAGGGCAGAGGCACTCACCCAGCCTCCATCCCCAACCCCAGGGAGTGGGAGGCGTGCTGGAGGGTACTGCGCAAGCTGCCTGGGCTGCCTCACAGCCCAGGAAGGTGGCTGTGCTCTGGCAGGGGTTTGCTCTGGCACCAAACAAGGGTGTTAGGGGGGATGGAGAGAGTCCCTGGGGCAGCATCAGCAGGCTCTGCTCTCAGGAAGCTGCATTTAGAGCACCCTGATGTTAAATTTCATGGTCCCTGGCTCTGCACGCGTGCTGCCGGCTCACTCGGCTCCAAATTAAGAAGCGATCTGTCAACAGATCGCCTCCAATGCGGGAAGCTGACGTGCCGGTAATAAATCATGCGCCGTGGACCAGGAGCGGGGAGGGGGAGGAGGAGGAGGAGGAGGAAAGATGCTGAAGCTCATTTTGCTGCTTCAGCTCTTGTGGAGTCAGGAAGCGTAGGATTAAGCCTAACCCGAGGGGAGACAAAGCCGTGCTCAGAGCATCACTGGGGGGAGGGACCCCTCCCCAGCCACACTGCCAGGAATGGGGGGGGACCAGGACAAGGTCCCCCAGGGCTCCAGATTTTGCTGCAGATGAGCTTGTCACCATGGGACCAATGCTGGAGCTTGAGGAGAGCTGGAGGTCTGCTGGGGGAGCTAATAGACAACCTGGGCTGCTCTGCCTGGGGCTACCAAGTAAGCCAGGCTTGCCAAACCCAGAAGGCAGTTCAGAGCCCATCACAGGGCAAAGGCACCCCCAGCCCTGCTGCCACCCTGCCTTATTCAAGAATAATCTACATGGGACGCAGCCCGCAAGCACCAGCCTTCCTAGTAAGGGCAAGCTGGCAGCCCCGGGGTGCCAGGACCCGCCTGCTCCTGTTGTTTGCACCTGGGCATATTTTAGGAGCTTTCGGGCCAGCCTTGCTGCCATCCAACTTTCCATCGCTGTGAAGGGGACGGTGAGTCCTTCACATCCCCACCTCCTGCCAGTCACCCAGGGAGGAAGGTCACAACCTGCCTTGGGGAAGAGGGGAATGGGCAGCCGGAGAGGAGTCCCAACCCACGCACAGGGCACAGGGAAGGTGCCAGCTCTGATGGCTGCTGCTGCCCGGAGCCACTGCCAAGAGGGACGGGGATGCCACAGGTCACCTCCTGCCATGGGAGCACCGGTGGCTCCGCAAGAGACCTGGTCTTGGGGTCTGGCACCCAGCTAGGGACATGGCAAAGGTTTTCCCAGCTCAGCATTTTGCTCAGAGCATCCCCCAGGAAGAGCAAAAGCAGCAGTTGCGATGCTCCAGTGGCCCGAGGGGGCTGACGGTCCCTGCCCTGCCAGCGCTGCATCCCTCCGGCGCCATGGCAACGGGCAGAGCAATTAGTTCAATGAGAGCATTCGCAAAAAGCTCTCTAACAAGACAGACACAGCCTGGCTCCGGTCCTCTTCTTGCCACATGTCTGCAGAGCTGAGGAGCCGATAACATGGAGGGATGGGAACCTGCTCTTCTGCTACCATCAGTGCCACCATCACCATCATCTACTGCCATTGTCAGGACCATCGCCAGCCCTATGTGCCTCTGCAGGGATGTCTGTCCCCCAAGGAACAGCATTTAAAGGCCAGAACTGCAACCAACATCGAGATCTGTAACAGGTGTGGAGACCACAGGGCTCTGCTCTTCTCCCAGCACCTTCGGATGGGGAAGGGGGATCTCCACACCCCATCAGCAACACACACGAGGCGGGACCCGGCAAGGACTCCAGCCACCACCGCTGAGGTAATGTGATGCTCTGAGAGCCCCATGGGGCAGGTACATCCCACAGACCCATGCCCACCACCGTGGGCAGGCAGCTGGAAGAGTCGGAGGGTGAGTGATGGAGAGTAGGGGGAGGAAGAGGAGCCAAGTGTGGGACAGTCCCCAGCTGGAGCCAAGTTCCCCCCGTCACAGCCCCCACCCCATGTGCCGGCACTCACTGGTACAGGCTGCTGCCGTGCTGCCGCTTCTGGCCTAGCCTGGCCCGGCTTGGCTTGGGTTCCCTGGCCATGTCCAAATCTGTGGGGAGAGAGAGGAGGGGAATGAGCAGCGGGAAGAAAAGGGGATGCTAACACCCTACTCCACGTGGATGTGTCTCTGGCACCGGCTTCCCGGGGGCTCCCGGCCACTCTCCTCTCCTGGCTGGAGATGTCCCACTCCAGAGCATCTGCAGGACAAGCCTGAGGCTGGCAGCTCTCTTGACTTAAGTTTTTGGGGAAGGATAGGAGTGGCCCAGGGTTGTGCCGGGACATGGAGTGGCTCCAGCTGTCCCTGCAGCAGCCCCTTCCCATGGGTGTCCCAGCCCCAGGGGCCTGTGCCCAGCCGAGACCAGGCAGGCTCCAATTAGGGTGGCAGAAAGCACCTCTGATGATGAGGGTAATTAACCCCCGGAGACATTTCCCACCACCATGGTGAATCCACGTTCGCTATCCCTTCTGCTGGGTGGTGGAGCCATTTTTCGGGGAGCCAGGCCAGTGGGATGCTGGCAAGCGCTGCCCGCCATGGATGGGTGCCAGGGATGGGGGAAGCCCTGCACCCAGCCACTTCGCGGTCCCAAAAGCTGCCGAGACACGTGTGATGTTGAGATGTGGGGTGGAGATGTCTCTGGACATGCAGCTCCGTGATGCTATGTCACACCTCCCCGGCAATGCTCTTCACCCCTTCTTTAGGATTTCACAACCAACGTCCATATAAAAGCCAGCTTGAATCTATTTTCTGAGTATACATTTGAGAGCCACTGATGCAATGCTTTACTAACATCTCCATGTATTTAATTTTGTAATTTTGGGGGGCTCCAAAACCTCTCTGGCCCCTGGGGTAGGAGCCGGTAGGTGAGATGTTGAGGGCTCCCCCTTGGCCATGGTAATCGTGGCCAGCTGTCCCACGGGTGACATTGTGGATGCCACTGCACCAGGGAATCCCAAGTTGAAGCTTCCCGAGTCCTCTGGGAACACACCAACTCATCAGAGAGGTCTAGACCTCCCCAGGAGCGTGGACACCGGCCATGGATCCCCTCCAGCCCTGCAGCCTGTGGAGGAGATCCGAGCAGAAGGAAACCGGCACTTGTTTGCTTTCCAGGCTGTCACCTTGTGTGACAAAGTCTGCAGGCTGGCTCTGATCTCGGGGCGAGCTGGGGAAGGTGCTCCACTTGCCCTTGCACACGTGCTAGGTAACGCTGGCACCCATTTTCTGTGGGTGCAGCCAGCATCCCCAGGGATGGCCGAGCTCACTGCTCAGGACCGGAGCCCGCCGTCAACATCCCTCTCTCCATCCCATCACACCCACCTGTAGAGCCACCTACTCATCTCCCTGCCAGCAGGACAGACACCTCAGCACCCCAGCCAGGGACCCCAGCCATGGCCAGGCTCCCTGTCACAGGCCACCTGCACCGTGGGGACTTTCCTGCTGGGGCAGGGGACCCAGGCCAGCAGGACTCCTTCACGCCGGGGTCATCGGCCCTGCATCTGGGCTCTCTTCCCTGTAATGGCAGGGGGGGCATCCCAGTACTAGGGGAACATCCGTGTTCTGGGTGGGGGGTAATGGTGTGGGGGAACAATGGTATGGGGGGCACCCCAGTACTGGGAGGACATCCCTGTCCTGGGGAGATAACGGTATGGGGGCATCCCAGTACCGGGACAAAATCTCTGACCTGGGGGTAGTGGCATGGGGGCATGCCAGTACCAGGGGGACATCCCTGTCCTGGAGGTAATGGCACGGGGGCATGCCAGTACTGGGAGGACATCCCTGTCCTGGGTGGGAGGGTAATGGTGTGGGGAGGACCAGGCATCCCAGTACCAGGAGGACATCCCAGCTCTTGGGAGGGACTGGTACCGGGCTGTGGGGCGGCTCGGTACCGGGAGGACATGCGTGTCCGGGGGGTAGGTACTGGTCCAAAGGGGCGGGAGGCATCCCGGTACCGGGAGGCGGCCCTGCCCGGGGTGGGGGCACCAGAAACCTGGCTGCAGGGGGGTACCCCTGCCCCGGGCAGGGCTGCCGGTGCCGGGTAAGCATCCCGGTGCCGGAGCATCTACCGGGGGGCTGGGAGCGGGGACGGGGACGTGTGGGAAAAGGGCCGAGCCCAGGAGGGCGGGGGGACGGGACGGGACGGACGACGACACCCGGGTGAGGGGGGGATGGAGGGCCGGATCCGGGTCGGTACTCACATCTCCAGCCCGCGTCCCCGCTGCCGAAGAGCGTCATCC